TGGAAGTTTGTGGTGGCTTTTACAGAGCTGCAGAGGATGGCAGAAGTTGCCCAGTTTTGTTGAGCAGCAACACAGCTCCAGTCAACTGGGGACAGATGAGTCAGACCCTAGCTGTAGCCTTTCAGCACCTTAAGGTTTGTTCTTTGGATAGAAGGACCTCAACTAGGATCACTTGTGGGCAGCCTGCTCTAAGGACATGTGGGTGTTTCCTCTTCACCATCAGAGACCTCCTGTAGTGTCCAACAAGCATCGCTCCCAGCCCATCTCTGGTGCAGGGCAGCAAAGGAACTGACCTTATTTGTGAATGTCTGGAGATCGTGGAGTGATCGTTAGAAATGAGCCAGGGATCATCATTTTCTGTAGCAAGTTCAGCACTCCAGCGTTCCTCTTCTTTCAGCCATCCCTGTAAAGAAGAAATAAAGTCACCTATCTTTTTTTTTTGACAGAGGCAGAACCTTTTCGTTCTGTTTTTGTCCTGAAACAGATTGGAAGGAGCTGGTGTCAAAACTTTTGCCAAAAAGCCAGCTTTTGGCAGGTGCCAACCATATAACGTTTCAGCCCCAAAGACAAACCTTTTATAAAGCTTGTATCCCCTGTTCTTTGCTTCCCAACTGCAGATGAGATTCAGGAGCAAGCATTTCAGTACTGTGGGCAACAGCACTGGGGGCAAAACAAAAAAAACCTCATCTGAAGTTACTGTCCAGCGCTGCTCTGTAAAATCTGGGCTTACTGTTTAGTGACCCTTTCCCTCTGCAAGTAATTTCAGTTGCTTATTTGGTAAGCAGTCTGCTGTGTTTTATAGATGATCTCTTGTTTTAGACTGTGCTTTGTAGGTTACTTGCATCTTCCATGTGCAGAATTCCGGGTGACTTCCCACCTTGCAGCAGCTCACGGTACTACTCATGGTAGATAAGTGTGAATCTAATGGTCTCTGAGAGGTGTAGAAGTCGCTGGCTTTGGCATGCCACTCTCTGCTATTGTCCCAGCTTTCTAAATTAATCAAGCCAAGCCTGCAGGTCTGAAGCTGATGCCAGTTTGCAGTGTCTACCTATGAAGTGCATTATTGACTTTTTTCACCGCTGCCACTTTACAAGTACTGAAGAGCCAGCATTGCTTTGTACTGAGAGTTTGAAGCTGGTTAGGTTGGCTGGGGTCCAACCCAAGTAATTACTGAGGGAGCTTGGGGAGGCAGAGTGCAATTTCAGTAGGATTCTGATTCAGGCATGTGGCTGGGATGGCAGTTGCAAAAGTCCTTTGCAATAGGAGGTCATAACCACCGCATGTTTGCGCGTTGCTCTTGCGAAGGCTCGCCCTCCAGCCATAAGAAATGTTAACACAGTAATGTTAGCTGTACATTACTAGAGCTGGACTATTGCTTCAGACATTCTTCTTTTCCACTGTTTAGTCTGTAAAAGTAGGACATTCAGACATTTTCCAGTAAGAGCCATAAGGCTATTCATACCTTTAGGTCTGCTCTTCATGTTATGACTAAAGCCCACCTTTCTGCCCTGTGCAAATACAATGTTTCGTATGGGAAAGCTGGAAACACCTTTTGTTGAGCTGGCATGATCTTTCCAAAGAGAGGAGCACTGAGATGGTAATTTTTCTCACCTTGTCTACAAGCAGAGAAAACTTGGAGCCTTTTGAACAAGACCTTTTCTTAAGTGGGCACAGTGTAAAAAGAGGGCACGTTCTCAAATGGAGTTTTACTGATGTCAAATATGTCCACAGGGGTATAAAAAACAAGCAAAAACCCTCTTCAGCTTGCAATAAGCGGCTACTGCAAAATATGAAAATGTTTTCTACAGCTGGCCTTGTTTAAGCAGCATTTTGAAAGAATCAGCACTGTATTTTTAGCTTAGTTTCCTATGGAAAAGGAGCATGTGTAATCAGACAGTCATGACCCTGCATGGTGAGGGGGGCATGTATGTGTCTGTCTCTCTGTTTTTCCTTGTCTTTCCCAGGAACTTGTGAACCCAGTGAGTCTTAGCTAAATTGGAGGAGTGAAGGTCTCAAGAAATGATCGACTTCCTACTCTTCCTGCTCTTTTACATAGGAAAAACAGTCTCTTGCAGGAGGGGGCACATTGCCAGCCTTTCTTCCTTCACCAGTTAAAGCAATCTGTATCACTTTGCAGGTGAATCTCCCAAAACTCCAGCTTGTCTGCTCTTAGCAGAGCCCATGAACGCATGTGCACGTGCTGTTTGACTCCTGCACCCAAATGACTCTCTTCTCATGCACGAGATGTCTTTGGAAAGAGCTCTGGCCATGTAGAGCCTGTTAAAAGCTAGAGTTCTGCACCCCTGTGAACTGTCTGGCCTATCTGATCTCAACAACTCACATTTCAGAAGCAAAGAGCTTTAGTTATGACCAGAAAGGCTGTTCCTTGCCCGTCTCTGTCAGGAATGTTGAAAGAAGTCCAGGAATGAACTTTGCCTTTTGGCCAGTGTTTGGGAATGAGGGTGAACGTATCTTTTTTTTTTTTTTTTTTTAAACAGATCTATGCAAATACTGCCCTTTTTGGGACAATGAAACAGAAATATTTGGTGAAAAAGGGGGGGGGGCTGACCATTTTACTCATTTTTACTCAGTTTAAGACAGTAGTAAAATACTAGGGTATTTCAGTACGGAAAGACTAAACAGCTTTGTGGCTTTGGGACACAGAATTCAAGGGCTTGGAGAATTCAGATGAAGCAATAACATTTTTGGTCTTACCCTGAGGCAGAAAGTCCACGCCGCCCCAGAAAGCCATACCTCAGCTAGTGTGAGCTGGCACTGTTGAGTGGCGTCAACAAAGCTTTGCCGGTTAACACCAGCTGAAGGGGGTGATCCGGCGAGCATCACAGGGATCTGCGTGACATGCGGGGCAGGGCGAATGCTGAGGCGCCTCTTACCCAGCACTGGCAGCAGAACAGGGCCACGGCTCCAGTATCACTCCTGTATGCCCCAGCCAGACGATGCTGGGGAAGGCAGAAGTGAATCACAGAGGAAGCACAAGCCAATTTCTCTGTATCCTCAGCTACCTTCCATGGAGCTTGTCAATCCTGAGATATCTTACTTACTGGGAAACTGTTGAAAATTGGCTATGGTTCTATTGTATACAGATTCATGGTGCAAAGTGGAAAAACTCCAAGGGCTTTTTCAGCCACCTAGAGACCTTTTCAACCACCTAGAGACCTTTTCAACCCTACCTAGAGGCTGCCAGCCATCTCCTTTAGAGAGACCCTGTGGGTCACAAATCACTGCTGACAAAAAAATGGTGGCAGGGACCAAAACCCACAATGACACTTTTCCAGGAGGGCAGGATTAGGCTTAATTAGCTGCTGGGGTGGGCCTAGACACAGGATCCTGGTATGCGGGAACTGATGTTTAAGGACACTGCACTATAGAGAAGTAGGATTATTCATTTCTGTGGTGGGCAGAGGACCCTAGGCAGGGTTGTGACAACTCTTCAGAGTAAGTAACTTCAGGGTGAAATTAGTCTCTGGAATCCAGTTTTCAGCGGCGTGAATTGGAGCAGCTCCATTCCCTAATATGTCCTGGCTTGCAGCTGCTTTCCTGCATCGCAGGGGCCACAAGGTGCCCCAGCGTCTCACCCCACGCTCAGTTGTGCCTGGTTAACTAGAGCATCCCTTGGAGCAAGACAGCCACTTTTGGCACGGAGACTTTAACAACAGAGAATCTACCACATCCCCCGCTTGATCCTTCCAAGGGATACGTTATTTTTAGCCTATGTGTATATATATAAATATACACTACTCACTTAAGTAGAACCACATCCTCGAAGCCAGCAGACTTAAGGCTCTAGCTCTGTGTTACATAAGGCGCAGAGCACTTCTCCATGCTGGTGCGCTGCGAGTCTTTGTTAGAACCTGCAGCCGGAGAAGCAGGTTTTTTTTAATTTGTTTTTGGATAAAGCAGGACTGACCACTGATTGGTTCAAGGAAATAATTATTTTTGAAGTGCTTTGTACAGGACAGTTCCAAAGTGTTCTGGGCTTGGCTGAGACAACTGCAAGTGATGAGCTCCACTCATCAGCTAGGCTGTAACACCTCACACAAATGTACCAACCATTGCAAATGAGATTTAAAAACTGGGTTAACTTCAAGCACCTAAACTTTGCATCTACAGCCACATCTAGAAGGCAGCTAATCTTGCTTTTTTTGCCTATGAAGCCAAGCCAAAAAAACCTAGCTCATGATAGGCCTTCTTAATTCATAACAGTGAAAGCAACAGCATCTGGGCTAAAGAGAACTAAACAATTGCAATTCTTATGAGAAACAAGAATGGAAGAAAGAAAGGGCCAGATTTCAAAGAACAGACACTGCAGAGTGGAGCGATGGAGATCTGGGTAGAGTCACTTACCTTGGGCTGGCACGCTGGGCAGAGGGAGAAATGGAGGGCAGCATTGGTGGGAGCTGGAAGGCACCTTGCTGCGCCACATCAGTCCTTTGAGCTGGAAGTCAGGCTGCAAATAGAAATAGCCACAGGTGGTGGCCAGAACGCTGAAGCATCTTAAATATAAGGCCTACACAAGGCTTGTCGGTGCGAGGATGGAGGTTAATGGTGCAGTTCTGTGCCAACCATGTTTAGGCAGTTTCTTGGCAACTTGACAGCAGTCCTCCCCTTTGGGCTTTCATGCTCTTTATGGGGAAGAATGCCTTCCTCAGTGGGATGAGCAGATCCCTTCCAAAGCACCTGGAGCCCTGCAGCAAACCTGGGAAAGATGGGGACTAGGAGGGGGGACTGAATGATGCTGAGGGTGCAAGCAAGGTGAGTTTAGCTTGTGTGGAATGGTGTAGGTCTTGCTGCTTAGTCACCTGTTCTCCTAGCACAAATAACCTGTCACCTGTATTGAGGTGCCCAGGTGACTCTGAGGAGGCCGAGTTCAGCCAGGCTGCAGACATTGGTGTCATCTGCCAACATGCTGCCCCTGGCTACTCAGCCCATGGCAACCACACGTTGTCAACTGTGCCAGCCTCCTCTGTTATATCCTAACATTCACTGTGCTCTTCTTCCCTGCAGATGCCTTACCTGCTCCTGAACCCGTCCATGACAGAGATGAGGCCTCGAATGTACCCTGTGTTTTTTGGAGAAAGCATTGAGGTCAGCCCTGAGCCCATGCAGGAAATTAGGTACAGATGGGATTGGTGGTGGGGGGCAGGGGGAATTTCTGTCCTTTTCCTGGTACTTTTCCTTCTGCAAAAAATTAAATGTGTTTATGAATGGGAGTCATGGTTATTTTGATAGAAAGCGAAGGCAGGACAGGTGGGAGGATAATACTTGAATTAAAAAGACCCTGACAGGAGCAGAGATGGAGGGAAGGAGGCAAGGACTGTGGGGCGGTAGTAAGAAAAGGCAGCTTTCCTTTCAAGGCCTGATCAAATCCAAAGCTATGAGAGAAAACCATTACCATCTGTAGGCTTGAGGGCCTTCGCTGAGTAACCTGGTGATCTTTGTCCTGTTCCCTACTGACTTGTATCCTCAGAAGAAGCAACTTCATTATAATTGGCACCTGTTTTTATTAGCACTTGCAACAGAGGCCAACATTAGACTAGCACACAGAGGCAGAATTATCTCCTCCTCAGGAGGTGGTCTCTCGAGTCAGCAACTGAGGTGTTCTGACCTACAGGGCTGGAGGGTATGGCCCATGGGAAAATGTTGGTCTCCTGCTCTTCTTTCTTTCTTTTGCTGGTGTGGAATGTGCTGTGCAAACAGTATGGAGCACAGTTACACACAGCTTGGGGCAGGAATGGTGGGAGGACTGTAAGCGCAGTTCCCACCCCCCTCAACCTATGAAAACGTCTCTCTGGAAATGTACCCCAGTAAATCTCTGCTTGCTGAGGAACTGCCTGCAGGCATGTTTTTATGGTGATTACATCGGAGTCTTGTTTTATGTGCGCTGAATGACTTGCTTACACCCTAGCTGTGCAAAATACATTACAGCAGCTCAGATTACGTGCAGTGCACAATTAGTCAACCCCCCCTCGGCTGAAGGTAATGACAAGCACACACCCAGCTTTTAATCTTTTTTACGTGGAGCTGCACATTCCTTGGCTGCTGATTGCCAGAGGAGTGTTTGGGGAGCAGAGAAAGCATGTGAAAGTCCTACTCCTTCCCCTGGTCAGGGATCCTAGGAAAACCACTTTATGCGGCCT